TCATACGCTATATACGGATCAATCCTGCTACTATCCGTCGGGCTCAACAGGTTATGTCCTCCTGAATAGGGTGGGGATGGGTTTTTTAGGGATTAACTATTACTTGTCTTGGCCTTTATTTTCTCATGAGTTGGTCTAGGTCTATAGTTCTTGTCATTTCAATCTACTTGTATTATTAAGCATACTATGAGTTTAAATTAGGCCTATAACCTTGCGTTGCATTTTACTATGCTTATTTTAATATCTATTATTATCTCTTGGGGGCTCTCACTCTGTTTTACCTGCGTGTTATCACTCTGTTAAAACATACGTTCATTTTTGGCTCTTAATTCTTGGGGAATTTTACCCCCAATTCATAATAATAGAATATTCCCAATTTGTTTCAGCTTCTCTCATATCGTTGAGGGTCTAGCTAACATTTTCAGCTTCTCTCATATCGTTGAGGGTCTAGCTGGTGGTGAATATTCTATTTATAATGCTGTTTTTCTAGGGCCACTTGCAGAGTCTAGTAGCTTCTCTGGTATCGTCCAGGGTCTAGTAACTTCTCTGTAGGGACTCTTAATCTAGCTCCGAAACAGCTCAGAGTCTTGTTTTAAGTTATAATTTTCTAGTAGTTAATAGTGATTATGAATAGAGTGAGTAGCCCCTGTTACGCCAAACCGTAGCTTGTCTATTTTCTTTAGTGTAATAAACATTTAACTGTTCTTGTGCGTTCTTGTTGTATATAAAATGATAATTTAATATTGTTATTAAATTATAGTTTATATACAATAAGTTCTCCTTGCTAGCTGACATAGCAATTTTCAATTAAGATTTTCATTATGTATTAGTGTTAGTGATTTTCCTTGCCCTGCAGGCATTATAATTTTGTTTATTTATGTATGCTGATGAGTTCTGGTTGATGCTAATTAATTGACCAATCAGCGTTCTCGGGGAGGATGCCCTGTTAGGGATCTGAAGGCCCCGCAGCATATAGTTTGAGTTTTTGGTGGAGGCATTTGTTTGTGAAATTTGTGCATTCCCACCCACCGTCCCCGGCTACACCATTGGTTTTATTTTATACTCATGTATTTTTTGTTTTTGTTTCATGTGCAACAGTTATAAGATAACCATATTTTTATGTATAATGGGCTACTCACTCTTAGTAACTTAAGGATCTTCTGCATTTATCAGTTTCTTATTAATATTTGTTTTTACCTGGGTGTTATCACTCTGTTAAACATGCGTTCATTTTGGCACTGAATTCTTGGGGAATTTTAACCCCAATGCATAATAATAGAATATTCCCAATTTGTTTCAGCTTCTCTCATATCGTTGAGGGTCTAGCTAACATTTTCAGCTTCTCTCATATCGTTGAGCTCTTAATTCTTGGGGAATTTTACCCCCAATTCATAATAATAGAATATTCCCAATTTGTTTCAGCTTCTCTCATATCGTTGAGGGTCTAGCTAACATTTTCAGCTTCTCTCATATCGTTGAGGGTCTAGCTGGTGGTGAATATTCTATTTATAATGCTGTTTTTCTAGGGCCACTTGCAGAGTCTAGTAGCTTCTCTGGTATCGTCCAGGGTCTAGTAACTTCTCTGTAGGGACTCTTAATCTAGCTCCGAAACAGCTCAGAGTCTTGTTTTAAGTTATAATTTTCTAGTAGTTAATAGTGATTATGAATAGAGTGAGTAGCCCCTGTTACGCCAAAGTGTCTATATAAACTATAGAACAGTCTGTGTATATCAGTCTCCAGTAATACATACCAGCAACGTTGTGGTGCATTCTTAATGACATACTCAGTGCTGAAGAAACACCTGAATATCAGACTTGTTGTCACCTTGTTTGTTATGATTCAGACTTCGGTCTTTTAATGAATTACAAGAAATGAGTCTTTTTATAAGGATTCTTGTAACATTATTCCAAATTATCTTAGAAATAAAAAAAAAAAAAAAAAATAAAAAAAACAATAATAAACATTTAACTGTTCTTGTGCGTTCTTGTTGTACATGATGTTGTCTTTATTACATATGGTGCTGTGTTAATGAAACAACACGAGGCCCATGGGCCTTAACGATCACAGCCAACTCTAAAGACCTATGATGATGTAACAGTCGCATGGATAGTGATAAAACTTTTTGATAGAGTCAAACAATTCTGAATTATAGCAACAATAATTCTTCATTATTACAGTCAGGTTTCAGTTCTTAGGCGCCAATGAAACGGAGAACTTATGAAGTCTAGGATTTACTTTCAATCAGTTGGCCACATTTGATTTTTGACCGATCTGGAAAATAACAATACTTAGTCTAGACCATCTCGTGACCATTCCAGTCAAATTTCAGCTGAACATCTCGCGACAATTTCAGTCAAATTTCAGATGAATTCCCTATGTGAGGACGATGTTTTCAGTAAATTTAAGAACATATAAGCTTGTAAGTGTTGTTAAAAATAGCCACTGTTGGTACCATACTGAAGTTTTCAAGAGACCACAATGCAACAGCATTCTGTTAGCTTCCTTTCCTTGTGTTTCCTCACCAATTCTCAGGTTAATGGTACCTGAGTGGAACTGGACAAGTTTACAATGTGTTTTTCAAGATGGCAACCAATTTTAATTTTAGACTGACTCCAATTTTTTTTTACATTTTTTAACCTGACAGAATCTTGAGTTCATTTCAGGCAAGTTTATCTGAATCCTACTAGCTAAAGTTTAACAAAAGTTTAAAATAAGAAAAGTTTGTGCACAGTGGATGGTGTACTGGACAGATAAAACATGTGACACTAGATCATCCTAACCCTTCTGGTCAGATTACCTAGAAATATATTTACAATGAAATATCTTAGGTGAAGGATATAATATTAAAAGTGTCAGTAGAACTGATGAATACTCCATCAAAACAACTGTGTTGGAGGCTGTTGCTGTCTGTGAATTTTGCATTTGGTCACATTATTGACATTGTTATATTGATAAATTGATAAAGTATATTAAAATGGAGAGTTTTGAAGAAACATACGAAGTCTTGAGGTCTGAAAGTAAGGACATATTTCACTCTAATACTAATGTCCATAACAAACACTGATTGTTACTAAAATGTACAATCATTGAATATTTTTGTATTCTAAATTGTTTTTGGAGAAATCTAGAATTCGAAGATTTTGTCTTTTTAAAGTAAACTTCTGTAATCCGTTATGAGTTTTCATTGGCATCAACTCAAAATACAGTGTATGCTGGAGTTACAAGATTTTAACAAACCCAAATAACTCTGTAATCAATAGCTTGTGGGCTCAGACCTGTTCAAGGTCTAAGAATTACCAACATATACACCGAGTTTAATTATCATAGTTTAAATACAAGTCATGTTATGTTACAGAAACAATATCTTAACAAAGGGCATTGACTCTGTAATAAACAGGTTATGGGCCCTGACTCTGGTACACTGCACATAGTCTAAGTACAACCAATGTATACACAATGTATCATTATCCTAGTTTAAATGGAAGTGAAGGTATGCATTGGACACAACATTTCAAAAAAGAACAACAACTCTCTAATTAAAGGATTACAGATCCCAATGTTGTTACATTGCATTTCAGTTTAGTATGAACAATATTTACATCTAATTTCATTTCTCTAGTTTAAATGCAGGCAACGATAATGTTTTGGAAACAAAATTTTAACTGAGATAAATAATAACATTGTAATTAAGAAGTTGCATACTTGGATTTTTTACACTGAACATTATCTAAGTATATGCCAAATGTGCACAAAAAGTTTCATTATCCTAGTTTAAATGCAAGCAAAGTTATGATCTGACCAATTTTTCAATAATGGGCAATAACTCTGCAAATAAGGGGTTGAATCTCAATACACAGTAGTACATCACCTGCAGCTGATGTACATGCCAAGTTTAATGATCTTTGCTTTTCTATGGGCAAAATGTTTTTGAATTAATGTACTCCCTTGAAAATGTTTGGGGAGCATAAAAAATTGAAAATTTTAATTTTTTAATTTGCCACAAAATATCACTCTTGAACTTTTGAAAAGAAATATACATTTTCAAAATGCTCAATAAAGATGAATTCTGTGAATTCTATAAGCATATTAGTCTTGTTCTAACTTTAAGTTTGTGCCTCATATTACTTGCATTTGACTCAGATCTATCTGGATGTGCTGTTGTTCAATTTCCCTTGCACTTTTCCAAAAATCTCTATTTGTACATATTAAGTTAGTTTTATCAACTTTGAGATTAAATTATAGTTTTGTTCACAATTCAGTGAAGATAATCATTTCAAAATCGCTGAATCATAAAATTACAATACAATATGTCTTACACTTTTGAGAAGATGAAATAATTAACTCAATGTATTTAATAGTTAATCAAGAATAACTAGCTTAACTTAATTAATATGAGAAATGCAGAATAACAAACTGAAACACAAATAGTTTAAAACATACAAATCTGCGTTACATGTGTTGCTAGACAATTAACCTTTAGAAATCATTTCCACATACAAATTCAGAAATTTTAACCTCCCTCAATTCAAATCTTATGTACATAAATTTACTTGATATCATATATTGAACAAAATATATCAAACCAGGTTCTGAGAATATTTTATGTTTGTGTTCAGTTCCAATAAATAAAACTATCAAATCTATGATTAGCCTCTTTGTCATCTGAAATCAAATTGCCATGGCAATTGAGCCAGCACTTTGAAATCATGGGTAATAAAAACTATTCACCAATGAAAGCCTCTGCAATAAAACCCTGCATTATATGACCTATGCTCTTCTCATTACGGTTTAATAAGGCAAGCTTACACAACATAAAGACAAGAAAAACCTCTTTGTCTATTGTGACCACTGCACTACATTTGGGAGTCATTCTAAAAGTGGAAAACCACCTGGTTCTGGCAAGGAATTATCTCTGTGTGATGCCTGTCATGTAAACTTAAAATGGCAGGTGGAAAAAGTTCTTATCAGTGAAGAAACATGTAGAAAATGGAGGATAAAACTCACTGTGTTGTGTTCCTGTGGTGATTCACCATCTGCTACTGAGAAATACATCTTCCTTTCCGAAGGTTCCTGTAAAAGATTCCTCAATCTTATAGTGACCAATTCTACACCCAAAATAGCAAATATCAATTCAGAAGTGTGAAACACTAAAGAGATATTAACAGGGAATCAATACAAACATTGGCCGATAGAAATTAAGATATTTACTAATCAAATCATTGATGTCGAAATATCATAAAGACCATACATACACAATGGTTATCCTATTGGAGTAAAGTAGATTCCAATTCTAATGGCATTGGGGATAAATTATTGTGTGTGAACTACAATTTTCCTTTTAGTTGATGATCTGATTTTCACTAAATCCGCTCTCATCCATTTTCTTATTTGTGATACTTTGTCTGGATTATACATATAAACAGTAAAATGGTGACTCGGTCATAACATTCTGACAACAGGCCATCAAAATGTGTTGATAGAGAGATCAATAACATCAAAAGACTAGAAAAGACAGGAAACACATTTCTAAAGATTTCTGATGGAAAATTAGCTCACTGACTATACTGAACTTCATTTACCACATAAATTTCAAAAGGGAAAACCTTGATGAAGGTTCTATAACAGTGGCTTCAGACAATATAGAAAACATTACTACACTGAAATTACAATTTCTTTTTTGCATATCTGAAGCTAATGATTCTGTCTTACAAAAACGATAAAAAGACAAATCAGACTTTATGAATCATATTACCTATATGACTACTTGTTGATAAAAAGTATAAGATCCTATTCATCTGTAAAAAAATTCTGTTGTTGACAATAAGTTAGCAGTAGGTAATGATTCAAGATACAGACTTCATTTTTTTTTTTTTGTGCTTTTTGAAAGATCATTCTTCATATATAAAAAGGATTTCGAAATTGTCTTCTTATGAACACAGAGACAAATAGCCTAGCAATGCATACCCTGTCCCTGTCGAGTGGGGAGATGAGGATTATGTCTACACTTCGTCCTACTGTACTTGCACCACGGGCCTCACTCAGACGCACCAGCTGTGACGTACTGGAATCTGTGATGTCAAATAAGATCTCACTGGGTCCGTCACTGTCAACTGCTGTCAGGGTTCCAATTGTGGTGTCTGTAAGACAGGAAACAAAACATCACATGACAGTTGTAATCACACACTACTGTCATTAATTATTTGAAATCCCTGTTGCTACATGCAATTACTCTCATAATCAATATCACTTTCATGGTAATCTGATTCCAGGAAGGAGACAGAGAATATCCCTATCCCTTCCGTGTATTCTACTAAGGCAACACTGACGACACCAAAACAGATTTGGTACTCCCATCACAACACTTGACATTTTCTTTCTGTCTTTGCTTTACTTGCCACTCTTGACACTTGTCTTCACACGACCATGGATGCTAAATTACATAACAAGAGATCCCAGAGGTATCTTGGTGCCCACCATTTGAGGATCTGTTTTCAGCTCTTGAAGATTTGTTTATTTTTTTTTTGTGTGTTACAGGTGTTGTAAATGTTCATGAACTGGTCTTCATTGAATGTACTCAATGATGGCACAAGATATTTTATTAAGCACCTATTAGCAAATATCATTTGAAAAAGATCCCAAAGTATTATTAGATAGCAGTCAGTTACAGGTGGATAATGGACAATATGCTTGTGCTGTATTACTGTCGACATCCAAGATGGCTGCCTGTGGGCCACCTTGATTTCAAATCAGTCCAAAAAAGGTACAATGCACAACTATGGACCAAGGGGAACCTGCATATGAAATTTGAGAAAGATCCATCCAGTACTTTCCAAGAAATAGCAGTAACAAACTTTTACATTCAAAATCCAAGATGGCCACCTGTCTGCCATCTTGAATTCAAATCAGTCCAAAAAAGGTACAATGCACAACTAGGGACCAAGGAGAAACTGCATATGAAATTTGAGAAAGATCCATCCAGTACTTTCCAAGAAATAGCGGTAACAAACTTTTACTTCCAAAATCCAAGATGGCTGCCTGTCTGCCATCTTGAATTTGAATCAGTCCAAAAAAGGTACAATGCACAACTAGGGACCAAGGGGAAACTGCATATGAAATTTGAGAAAGATCCATCCAGTACTTTCCAAGAAATAGCGGTAACAAACTTTTACTTCCAAAATCCAAGATGGCCACCTGTCGGCCATCTTGAATTTGAATCAGTCCAAAAAAGGTACAATGCACAACTAGGGACTAAGGGGAAACTGCATATGAAATTTGAGAAAGATCCATCCAGTACTTTCCAAGAAATAGCAGTAACAAACTTTTACTTCCAAAATTCAAGATGGCTGCCTGTCGGCCATCTTGAATTTGAATCAGTCCAAAAAAGGTACAATGCACAACTAGGGACCAAGGGGAAACTGCATATGAAATTTGAGAAAGATCCATCCAGTACTTTTCCAGAAATAGCGGTAACAAACTTTTACTTCCAAAATCCAAGATGGCCACCTGTCGGCCATCTTGAATTTGAATCAGTCCAAAAAAGGTACAATGCACAACTAGGGACTAAGGGGAAACTGCATATGAAATTTGAGAAAGATCCATCCAGTACTTTCCAAGAAATAGCAGTAACAAACTTTTACTTCCAAAATCCAAGATGGCTGCCTGTCGGCCATCTTGAATTCGAATCAGTCCAAAAAGGTACAATGCACAACTAGGGACCAAGGGGAAACTGCATATGAAATTTGAGAAAGATCCATCCAGTACTTTCCAAGAAATAGCGGTAACAAACTTTTACTTCCAAAATCCAAGATGGTCACCTGTCGGCCATCTTGAATTTGAATCAGTCCAAAAAAGGTACAATGCAAAACTAGGGACCAAGGGGAAACTGCATATGAAATTTGAGAAAGATCCATCCTGTACTTTTCCAGAAATAGCGGTAACAAGAATTGTTTACGGACGGACGGACGGATGGACGGACCACGGACCACGGACGCAGGGCGATTTGAATAACCCACCATCTATTTGAATAAATGGTGGGCTAAAAACAAAAACCAACTGATTCCAGGCATTTTTTGAAACATCAATGTAATAGATATCAACAGATCTAAAATATGTATATTTCAGAGAATTTTCCTGTCTGTTGTATTTCAGTAATTCTTTTCTAAAACCTGTTTCAAATGTTACATATGGTGTGATACATGTATGGACATGCTTGTCTTCAGTAAGTCCACTTTTACCTATTCCAGTGTTGTAGAAATAGCAACAAATGCTGTTTTACTTCCTGTGATAAGCCCACCTCCATTCAAGGTAAGGATTTATAATATGCTGACAAGCAGCACAGAGACCCCAAATCCATTTTTCCTGTGATAATCAGAGCCCATGGTGCATAGTAATTATCCCAGACCCAAGATCATTGGGTGCATGACTACCCAGGTATATCTGTGGGTTTGGTGGGTTGTATAGGTGTTTTATGTCCATTCAGCAAACAAGTGGAGGGTGTGTATCTCTTGAGTCTTAGACACTGTCTATTCTAAGGTTGCCAGAGTTGGGTTTCTGCTGAAATGGATTGGAACACAATTTAACTTAAGGGGTTCCTTGGGGATCTATCAAGCAGTCTTCATCAATCCAATGCTCATACCCTAGTGATGACTGAGACAAACTATAGTCTTGACTAATCACTCTCATCCTGACTTTGGAATCAAGCTGTACAACAAAATAAAATACACAACTACTACAATATCCTTTTATTTCACAAACTAGTGTGGATTGATTGGGTTTCCCTATTTCCAAGCAAATTAAAAGGCATTAGCTGCATAATTCCTGTGGGATGTCAACATTTCTATATTACAAGTGACTTGTTTTCATGGATTCTTAAGAGGAATAAATACAAAGAATTTAAAAAAAAGCTAGAATTGTTCATTCAAAGCATACTGAAATAATGAAAAGTACTTCAAAAGCGTGAGAAAGCTGGATGACACTTGAAGTGAGGAGTTCATGATTGATAAGGGTGATCTCCTGAGACAATTCCACTGTCATCCACAGCATAGGCGACCATTGTAAAGTTTTACTTTTAAACAGAAAACCATAGTGAGGAAGGATAACCTGGCCAGCTTTTTATCTAAGATTTGTTCTAGTGGCACAGGAACTCTTTCAACCCATCCAAACTTAAAGTCAATTCTAAGCCGTCAAATGCTTCAGTTTGACCAGAGAAGGAAGCATACAGTAACACAACTAAAATGCTGCTCCTCTCGTCTTCTCATCAATACCCCAACCTTGACTGAACAGGAAATTCCAAGTAAATGATTTCTGTACTACCAAAATGCAACAGAGTTTTACAGATATACAACTTTGGTATTAATACACAGATACTTTGACAAAAGCACTGCAGTGTCCTTGAAACTAAGAGGAAATGGTCAGAACAGCAATAGAACTATGTCTGTGGATTGCCAGTCTCTATGAAAACAATTCCCAAAAGGTTAATCCTGACAGAAATCTCCAGACAAAGATGCCAATCCTACAAGGCTTTTTATTTTGTGCCACAGAAGAAAATGTGAAAGGAAAAAGATATAATTGACAGTTGTAATCTAGTGTGGTATCAGTCAAAAACTAGGATTATGTTTCAGGGAAATTTATGTATAAAGCACTTCTCTACCTATAGAAATTGCATAGATTTCAACAAATTAAACACTGACACCTTTATTGCTATAATGGTTATGGTATTATGAAACCATGAAAATACATCACACATATATTTAAACCAGATAGATATTTCTTTCAGTTATTAGTTCCTTAACCCATACCCTTTTCAGTAATCAACTTTCTTTAACTTGATGAGTTGTGTTAGCAATTAAGATATTGCAATTAAAAGGGATAAAAATGACCAATGAAATTAGTAAATTTCCAAAGGATAAATTAAATGAACTGTAGCATTTTTACCCACATTCTATCTGCAAATTGATCTTGTATGCTGTGAATATTGTGAAGCAGGGCAAACTGTCGTTGTTGAGTTTCTATCTAATAACAGATGAGCTGAGCCAATAAAGATGGCAAATTAACCCATTCATTCTTGTATGCTGGAGATGCTTACAAATTAATCCCCTGTGCTCTACCTTTATCCTGTAGACAGATGAAACATTCAGTCAAGATTTCTAAAACTCTGTTTGGCATTCAGTTAACTAAGACAGCAAAAAATCAGCTGGTATTTCTATAGATCCAAGAATTGAAGGTCAGAAAAAGGTGCTAATAAGGACCAAACAGTGACAGAGTCAACATGCTCATAATAAACAGTCTTGACTGTGGAGACAGGTTTTTTGTATTTACAGGAAATATAATTTTTTTTTTTTTTTCTAATATAGTAAACAGGATTCTTTCAAGACAACCATTGATTTAAAACAGGTTTTTGTCATACTCTAGTTGTCCTTAAGGCATGTGATCTTGTAAATAGTTAGATATGTACTATATAAGACAAGACTGTAATTTACAGATAGATCTTTATAGACAGGTATTATTTATAGACACAGGTTTTCTTTAAAGTTGTGATATTAATATCCAGGTGTTGATAGAAAGAAGAATTGTTATTATATCAGGATTTTCTATCTTTATTATTATTCTCTTTATTGCCTCCAAAAGTACAAAAGACCTGGAACATGTAATACAAAACATCCAGAAACATATATACACGATTACATAATAGACATTTATACCTTACATACACATACAAAGTATCTACTTATACAGCATATTGGTTTGCAGTAGTCTCCATAAAGATTCATTTTATTGTAATGGGACTATGAAATCAACTTTAAGTTAAATATATCTACAGTACATGCATAGTGTATGTATTATAGAAACATTACATCATAGCAATGCAATGAGGCTATAAAATCATCTTTGTACTTCTTTTTTTCTAAAGTACTCGCGTTTTACATAGTATAGATACATTACATCATAATGAGACTATGAAATCAACACTGTAGCTAAATTTATATCTAGAGTATAAACATCATAGGTAGTATAGATGAAGAGATCATGTGGCTGAGTGGTAATTACAACAATACTAAAGATAATACAACTTAAACATTTTTTCTATAGCTCTTCATTTTTTAGTTTGTAGCGGAATGGTCTTCCAACTAAAACATGT